TAGCCGAAGCGTGCAAGCCCCAACACCATTGTTATCAATAGATAATAAAAAATAGTTTAAGGTTGTACCCCAAAACCCAAACACCGTTCTTATAAAAAACTGAATATGTGACGATCTGAGATCATCACTATGAAGAAGAAGACTTATGTTATTTGTTAATAGCGGACCTTTTGTAAATAGAAAAGAGTGGGTTCGTTAAACCCATAAGTTTAATTATTTTTACTTTAGCCCTTAAGAGGGAAGCTTAGGAAAAGTTCTAGAAGAGGGACACGTGTTGTATCCTCAATTAGTTTGTTATTTTAATAGCCGTCACTGTCCTTCTTAAAAAGGAACATTCTCTGCTCATTTGCAGATGTCATTTGGAATGAAATCAGATAATTTACTTTAAATTCTTCCTTTTTTTTAACAATTGTTACAATTGGTATTCAAAGCCTTGTTCTTGGCACAATTATTGATGGTAGATAAAAACAAAAATACAGCGGGTAGCAGTCGGACGCCGGTCGTACTTCCTCCTCTGGCAACCGTGGAGGAAGCTGAGCTTCGTATGGCCCAGATGGAGGAAAGGCAAGGGTTCCTTGAAACAACAGTGATGGAGCTTTTAGATTCGAGTAAAAGGGTCGAACATTTGCTTATACAGATGGACCCCGATAGAAGAGCAGCTGTTTCTCCGGCGTTGGGGTCCACAGTGGCCATTTCTTAAGGTAGCTCTGTTCGTGACTCAGGCTATTCATCAATAGGAGGTAATATGAGGAATACCACTCCCTTCGTCTCCCCATCTGTGTCAACCTTACCTCAGGGTATATTTCTTCCTCCGACCTCCTTCACATCAACCCCAGCCATTCAACTTCCACCACTTTCAGACACCACCTCAACCACCACACAACCGTTAAATCCGGCAGCCCACTCCTACAGACCATTATTGCAAACGTTTCCCTTAACCTCCTCTCACTTGAGCCTACCACCACCACCCTCCTTCTTCAACTCCACATCTCATATTCCGTATTCCCTTCCCTCTTTTCCACCCGTGTCAGTCCCCTATAACACCACGATGCCTTACTCATACACCTCCACTATGCCTTACTCGTATACCCCATCCCTTTCTTACCAGCCGATGTTGTCAGTAGGTATTGGGGCTTCAGCTTTCTCAGTATCTTTGGGGTCGTTCCAACCCCAACCATTTGGGGGAAACTTGCAAGCATTTAATGGGCTGGACACTTCCAGATCTCGCTATAAAGGGCCCAAAGCTAAAATGCCATTTCTTGAGTTTGATGAAAAAAATCCAAGGGCATGGATTAGAAGGTGCAACAGGTTTTTTGACCTTTATGGAGTGGACGAGGAGGAGAAAATGACATATGTCTCCATGAATTTGAAGGATGAAATTGATATGTGGTTTGATAGTTATGTGTTGGACAAAAGAGGAAGGGTGACTTGGCCTATGTTTTGCCTAGATGTATGCATACGCTATGGCAATATTAGGCCAACCCAAATTATCAGGGAGTTTAAACAAGTGCGACAAGTGTCCGACGTTGAAAGTTATCAGAAGAAGTTCGAAGAATTAAGGTGCTTGATGGGGATTACAAATCCTAATTTAGACGAGGCATATTTTTTTGAGTGTTTCATTAGTGGCCTTACATTGGATATTCAAGATAATGTATAACTGGCTAATCCCCGTACCTTAGTAGTTGCATATGACCTTACAAAAATTCATGAAAGAAAGGTGAAAGCCATGTACAAAAAGCTCGCAGCAAAAAGTGCTCTCAAAAGTAATCAGACTAACCAAAGGTTTAATTCCACCGGTCAAACACCCAATTTCATGACCCAAAGAAATGCCCATTCCACACAACCACCAAAAGCCCAAACACCTTTTGTTAACCAAGCCACTACTTCCAAAAACCTTTCCTATGAGACAATGAGAGCCCAAAACATTTGTTTTACTTGCCATGAGAAATATCACCCTGGCCACCAATGTAAGGCCAAGGCATTAAATACCTTGGCAGGGGAGGAGGGTGTAGAAGAATCAACGGTGGAAGAAACAGGAGGGATAGGGGAAGAATCGGAATCTCAGGACCAAGAAGAGGTTGAAGTTTCAATCAATGCAGTATTAGACCTGGGATCTAATCCTAAAACAATCAAAATACAGGGTTGGGTAAAGAATTGTATGATGATAATTTTAATTGATAGTGGGTCCACCCATATTTTTGTGGATCCACAAGTGGTCAAAAACTTGAAGGCCCAGGTCCAGTGGCTTCAGAAGCCCATGAAGGTGAAGGTTGCTTGCGGTCACATTCTGGACTGTCACGAATTTAGTCCAAATTTTAAGTGGAAAATGGGGGAAGAAGAGTTTTTCTTTCAAGTGGGGCTGTTGAAAGTAGGAGGATGTGATATGGTGTTAGGAATGGACTGGCTCAACACCATTGCCCCAGTTTTACTACATACTCGTCCCTTGAGCATCACATTCATTAAAGGAGACAAAAGACTAACGTTACTAGGGGATCAAGAGTCACAAGCCCTGTCCATAGCTGATGCTAAAACAATAATCAGGTTGTTGCTTACTGGACAATGCAGTTGCTTGGGCCAACTCTTTGAGTTAAACCAGGAAGATCCATCCCACAACAAGGAGACCATTCCTGAAGAAGTCCAGTACTTATTGACCAAAAATGAAGACATTTTTGACGAGCCACGAGGGTTACCACCACATCGGAGCTGCGACCATCAGATCGAGCTACTACCTGGGGCCAAGCCAGTAAATCTCTGGCCCTATAGGTACTCGTTTGAACAGAAAAATGCCATTGAAAAGATAGTGGCTGAAATGCTCGATTCCCAGACAGTAGCTCCCAGTATATCCCCCTTTGCCTCCCCAGTCATTCTAGTAAAGAAAAAAGATTCAAGTTGGCGAATGTGCGTCGATTACAGAAAATTAAATGAAGCAATAGTGAAGAATAAATACCCAATTCCGGTGGTAGAAGATTTACTTGATGATCTTAATGGCGCCAAATTGTTCTCCAAATTGGACCTTCGTTCAGGATATCACCAAATCAGAATGAAGGAGGGTGAGGAGTACAAGACGGCTTTCAAAACTCATCATGGGTTATGGGAATTTAGAGTTATGCCTTTTGGGTTAACTAACGCACCGGCCACTTTTCAAGCCTTAATGCACAATATTTTCAGGCCTTATCTCAGACAGTTTGTCTTGGTATTTTTTTATGACATTTTAATTTATAGTGCAACACTACAAAATTATCTCAAACATTTGGAACTTGTGTTTAGGGTGCTTCGAGAAAATTAGCTGGTGGCTAAGAGGTCAAAGTGTTCATTTGCACAAACTCAAGTAGAGTATTTGGGCCACATCATTTCAGGGGAAGGGGTAAGCACAGACAAAGCAAAGGTGGAAGCTATGATTGGGTGGCCACAACACAAGACAATTAAAGAACTTAGAGGGTTCCTTGGACTAACGGGGTAATACGGGCGGTTTATACGCAATTTTGCTACCATCAGTAAGCCGCTTACAACTCTTCTAAAAAAAGGGAATTTTCAATGGAATGAGGCAGCCACTACTGCCTTTGGTGAACTGAAACAAGCAACGAGTCAGGCCCCTGTGCTTTCTTTACCAAATTTTACTACTCCTTTTGTAGTAGAAGTGGATGCCAGTGGCAAAGTAGTAGGGGCAGTCTTGACCCAAGGAGGCAGACCCATAGCCCATCTCAGTCAAGCCTTAAGTCTTGAACACCTTGGGCTTTCAACTTACGAAAAGGAGCTTATTGCACTGTTGATGGCAGTTGAGAAGTGGCGTCATTATCTCCAGCTAAGACCATTTGTGATCAAAACAGATCATTTTTCTCTCAAGCTTTTGAGAGACCAAAGAATCACTACATCCTTACAACAAAAAGGCATCACCAAGTTGCTGGGCTTGCACTATGACATTCAATACAGGAAAGGAGCTGAAAATTTGGTAGCAGATGCTCTGTCAAGAAGCTTTGAAATAGAGGAGGCAGAAGAATGCTTAGGACTGTCCATAGCTCAGCCAAAATGGATGTCTGAAGTGGTAGAAAGCTATGAGAATGACCAAAAGATTCAAGAATTGCTTGCTAAGATCTCGTTGGACCAAAATGCAGTACCTAACATTTCATTACAATAGGGCATCCTCAAGTATCGTGGCAGAGTTTGGGTCGGAGAAAAGGGCAACCTAAGATCAGGGCTAATCAATGATATGCATGCTACACCATGGGGAGGACACTCAGGAGTATTGGCTACATTGCAAAGGTTGAAGAACTTATTTTACTGGCCTAACTTGCCTAGTGAAGTAAAAACACAAATCCAGGGTTGTGAAGTTTGTCAACGCAACAAAGAGGAAAATGTTGCATATCCCGGCCTCTTGCAACCAATGCCTATTCCGTCTAGGGCCTGGGAGCATGTGGCTATGGACTTTATTGATGGGTTACCCAAGTCGTCAGGTAAAGACTCCATTTTGGTGGTGATTGATCGCTACACCAAATATGTCCGTTTCTTCACACTCACACACCCATATTCAGCTAGTCAGATTGCGCAAGTCTTTTTAGACAACATTTGCAAGTTACATGGATTACCTAGTTCGATTGTGTCAGATAGGGATCCAATTTTCGTAAGCACACTATGGAAAGAACTGTTCAAAGGGTTGGGGGTGAAATTGCGAATGAGATCGGCATACCATCCACAAATCGATGGGCAATCTGAAAGATTGAATCGTTGCTTGGAAACATACCTAAGATGCATGACGGGTCACCGTCCCTCAGAATAGAGCAAGTGGGTGGCCTTAGCAGAATTTTGGTATAATTCTAACTTCCAACTAGCAATTGGAATGACTCCCTTTAAAGCCTTATATGGATATGAGCCTCCACAACCCACCTTTGAGCTAATTGCACAATCCCCATTGAGCCCGGCAGACCAAATCATTAGAAACAGACAGGTAATGGCTCGAATCCTTAAGGACAACCTCGAAAAAGCTCAGGTTAGAATGAAGCAAAATGCAGGCAGACACAAGATTGACAGGAAATTTGAAATTGGGGATTGGGTGTTTCTCAAATTGCAGCCTTACAGGTAAGTGTCAGTAGCGGTAAGAAGAAATTTAAAATTATCAGCTAAGTTCTTTGGCCCCTATGAGGTTATTCAGAAGGTTGGACCAGTGGTGTACAAACTAAAGCTGCCTTCGAGTTCTCGCATTCACCCAGTTTTTCATGTATCACAACTGAAGAAAACTATTGGCAATCAGAATTTTGCAGCACAAAACCCACCTTTGTGCAACCAGGAGGGTCAAATGCTTGCAGAACCAATAGCCATTCTTGATCGGAAAATGGTAAAAAAGGGAAATAGAGCCTCAACTCAAGTATTGGTTCAGTGGGCAAATTTATCACCAGAAGAGGCAACATGGGAAGAATACTCCTTAAAATCTCAATTTCCGAATTTTGATGAACCTTGAATCACTCAAGATTCTTGCTGAAGGAGAATGGAATGTGACGATCTGAGATCATCACTATGAAGAAGAAGACTTATGTTATTTGTTAATAGCGGACCTTTTGTAATAGAAAAGAGTGGGTTTTTTAAACCCATAAGTTTAATTATTTTCACTTTAGCCCTTAGGAGGGAAGCTTAGGAAAAGTTCTAGAAGAGGGACACGTGTTGTCTCCTCAATTAGTTTGTTATTTTAATAGTTGTGACTGTCCTTCTTAAAAAGGAACATTCTCTGCTCATTTGCAGATGTCATTTGGAATGAAATCAGATAATTTACTTTAAATTCTTCCTTTTTTTTTAAACAATCGTTACAGAATAAAACATAGTTTTAAGATTGTTGGTTCTAATATACAGTCACTTGCTAGACTGCAACATGTTTCGAAAATTGTTTTAAGGTTGTATGTTCGAATATCAGGTTGGTGTTCTTGCATTTTTTGGAATTTTTCTTCCGAGTTCATGATTCCGTCACATAGTAGAATGCCGCTTGTTTTTAGTAATCAGAGGCTCGTCATGCTAGCGCACCGCGATTAATTTTACGGTGTACCTCTGCTACCTCCCATATCGAGTAATTTTATCTATCAATACTTGGAGATTGAGTACCTTAATTTTTATGCCTGGTTTACTTGTCATATCAAAGTATTCCTTAAAATCTTACAAAAATCTTTGATATTTCTTTCATTAAGCTACTCAAAGTCCAAATATCTACAGAAGTATCTCATTAGGGTACAAAAGTCCCAGTCAATGCATTCATTTGTTTTTACTGGAAAGAATATTCGTACTTTTGGTTTTCAAAAAAATTGTTTCCGCGTTATTTCAACTCATTCTTGCAACTTGCAAAATATAGAATTAGTCCAATCTACTGTAATTCTTCTTTTAGAGTGAACGTGTGGTTTTCTTTCCTTCCCCCTGTTTAGGGTTTCCACCATTAGCAATGTCAATAAAATAAAAATCCATCCCTACTCAATTTTGTTTTTCTTCATATATTTTGAAGTATATTTTGTGAAATTGATAGATCGTGGTTCGTGGTCAGTTCTATAAATTCCAAGAAAATAACCGCAAATATTGACTCTATTTTCCAACTAGCTCCTATTGCTGGGGTTATCGGCGGATGTGTAAAATAAAATGATTCTTTTACCTTGTATTTCGCCATTTATTAGCTCTTACAATACATAATTTAAATAAAATAAACAAGATTTTGGACTTTTTAGTCACGGGTTTAAACATTATTGCCAGAAGTAGTGAGTTGTAGCTTATTTTTTAAATACCATTTAATATAAACCACATGAATTCACTATGCTATCTGTTTGTTGGTTTTCATGCATAATTAAGATGCCTCAATACGTGTCTTGAAGTCATCAAAGGTGACAGAATATCTATTTTGTCTTGTTTTTATCTCATTGATAGGAGTAGGACTAAGGAGATTTACAATATGCGACAATTATATGTAAAATGATCCCATTTGATTGAAAATGAAGTCATACTTATCCCTATCTATGATTTGATTTTGGTAATGGTGTCGAATGTAATTGGGCTGTATCTTGAATCCTTTTCACAGAACTTTTTACTTTTGCTTTTATTTTCTTTTATTAAGTGGAGCACAGTAGACGACTTACGAATAGGTTACTGCGCTGCAACGTGTTTCATACTTAACCTATACTTTCTTTTTTAGGAAAAAGATGTTACTCCTTCCGTTTCATATTAACAGTCGTGATTACTAAAAATAGTTATCTCAAATTATTTATCAATTAAAAGTACAAGATAAAGATAATTATTTTTTTCCTTTTTTACCCTTAGTAATATTTGTTCTTGAAGATATAGATAACACATAAATAGAATAAATATTCAATGAAGAAAGATTATATGGAAAAATGCATAAGTACCCCCTGACCTATACCCGAATTTCCAACTACACACTTTTTCTTTGCGGGAATCCTATTACCCCCCCAAACTTATCTTAAATGGAATAAATACCACCCTAAAACTAGACAACCAAACTCTTGGCAAGTGGTGAGCTACACGCGCCCCCACATGTATTTTTAGTACTTTTTTTTTTATTCTTTCTTCTTTTTCTTATCCTTTTTCTTATTTTTTATTATTCTCATTTTTTTTTGGTTATTTCATTCTTTTTATTTTTGTTTTGGTCGCCGGCGGCATAAAATGGTGGTCGTCGGAATTTCACAAATACCATTTTTTCCGGCGACAGATTTTTATCCCGATCTAAGTGTGTTTTGTTTTTTTAATATATATATATATATATATATATATATATATATATATATATATATATATATATA